CCACCACCACCGCCACCACCACCGCCACCACCACCACCACCACCACCATCAAATCAAGCAAGGGCACAACTTACTTGATCACTCTCCTGTATTCAAAGGGGAAAAAAACAAGAGGACGAAAATGAGAAAGTTAGATTGGATGTGAATGACAGAGCTGCACTATATACAGTCCAATTGGGTTTGAGAGCAGACAGCCCTGTTAGTGGACAAGGTCTTAATTGCAACTCGAATTCATAACACGAAATACACCCACCTCATTGTAGTTTACTCGTGAGAAGTAGAAGTGCTTGTAGTCATCACCTAACACAACCTCGGCGAGTCGAAGAAGATTGTGCTTCAGTGGATTGGCAGTTTTCACTTTCCAGGAGTACGGTGACCGACTACGGAATATATGGCCCACATGACTGCAAGGAATTGTTTCCAGTTGACCACCGCACATCCAAGTCTACAAAGGGAGAAAAGTTGGTAGCCAATTAACATTATTCCATTTCAGAACATTCACTTCACGTTTTTTTCTAGGTCTAATTGGTAGCTGGTGGCTCGAAAGAAGCTTCAATGCTGTTTGACCTAATAAGAGGATCAAATCGGTTGATTTTCCAGTGGTCTCTGCTACGGTTGAGACCATATAATGGACCTTTGTGGGGAGGGGAGGGAGAAGAGGGGGGAATAGAAATGAAATAGTAAGACCGAACACCCAAATTAAATTTGTCAGTCAGCATACTCAGGACGTCATGGACAAGAATCTGTACAAGGCGGATGTAGTTCTACGGTCAGTTTTTATAGCATTCAGTGGAGTTAAGGGTGTTATTGATTATGGATATAATTATTTATTAATTAAGTAGTAGTAGAACGATTCCATAATTAACCTTGGCGCTTACTTTAGGACAGTTACACAATCTGCAACTGCGTCAGGCAGGTTTGACAGGTGGTATCATCAGATGGCATTCCCCCCACCCCCTCCAAAAAAAAGGCAATGAAAATTTTCAACTTACCTTGAAGGAAAGCTCGAGATTCTCAGCACCCCATACTTCATAGCCCGGATCATACCATCCCAGTCGCTCGAAAAATTCCGTGGAAATTGCAAATAGACCTCCTGCCATGGTGGGAGTTCTAAAATTCCAAAAAAATTTCATATATCTCAACTAATTGACACCTCTCTTTGTTACGTTGGCGCTAAAAAGAAAAGTGAGTCTTCTTTTTTTATAAAAATTGATTATTTACCCAATCTGTAGAGTAAGCAGAGTGAAATGAGGATATTATTGCCAACTAACTTTAAAATGTTAGAGGGAGAGCGTTAAAGAAGAAAATGATTATCTAAATGACTGAAATTGGAGTACTTCCGGTTGGGAATAATTATGGCCCAATAAGCAACAATTTGCAAGAGTCGATTTGCTCCCACTTGTCAGGCATACGTGGAGGATGTACGAAATAGTAGTTAGGAGTAAGAAGGGATGGAGGTAGCTTCTGAGGATCGTATTCTAAATTTTCATTCAATTTCGAATCTCTTCTTCCAAACAAGCATTCAAAGAGAAAATGATTGAAAAACAAAACATTCAAAATTGTAACACAGGAAGATAATACATGCATGCAGTGACCTGAGTGCAAATCTACTACATATGTTATAGAGATAATCGAAGCTGTCGCAGAGTTTAGACTGCGTATCGGACACGATTGACAGGCGAAGCACCTTGACAGAATAGGAGTAAACGCTCAGCCATCATGCCCCCTCTGTGACCTGCAGGAGGAAAAGGGGAAGACTCACCTGAAACGACAGAGACCCAGAGATACTGGGAGGCCGGAAGTCAACTACTGGGCTAGTATAAGTGTTATAAAGATTGACTTAATATTCCTTTGACTATTTTTTTTCATATTTCATTATAGTGCTTCTCAGAGGCCTTGACAGTTTCCGCTGTACATGAAAAATGTTGTAAAGTTGAGACCTCCTAATTTCGCGATTCCCTATTTGTTCTCCGTTCAAACAGAACCTTCAATAATAAGCTCGAAACCCACCAAAAGGATCATTTTAAGAAAGATTTAACATTAAACGCCAAACTTTGATATTTCTCTCCTGACAAAGTTAAACATGGATTAAATGGTTATGTTAGTCATTAGACATCCACATAATGATTTCAACTTCATGTCATGGGACCCAAGTGTTGTATACTTCTTGATACAGACCTCAAATGATTAGAGCATTTGAATTAGACGTGAAATTCCGAAAATATAGACACTTTCCCACACCCGCTTCTTCCATTATTATAGAAGTTCCAAAGTATACGAACGTAGGAAAGAACTGTTCAATCAAGCCCAGACCTAGAATAGGATCGGCCATTTAGAAGGAAGTTAGGGTGACTTACCGAACAGGGGAGTTCGGAGCACCGGGGCGAACGGCATCACGTGAAGGGATTGGATGCCATCGGAAGATGAGACTCCAATCGAAACCACCAACCTGGACACTTCGAGAAGATGCATGGTTGTATTGGAGAGTGTCAGAACTGATCACGTCAATCACTGGCACCACCACATTGGTCTTGTTTTCGGCGATCCTATCAAGCAGTGGCTCAAGCCAGCCTAAAAATTCAAGCAAGTCGAGTTGAAAAAATAAGTGCAAATCCAACAAAAAATCATCCACCGCAACTGTCTCTCAAATAAAAGAATCCGAACTTTATTAACCACCAGATTGCATATAACCTCATAGAGGGTTCAAAACAAGGCTTAAATTTGAGTTTGAAGAAATTCCCTCAGAAGCTATGAGATATATTTAAAATTGATAAATAAAAGCAAATGAAGGGCAGATTAAATTCAGTTCACTATTGGAAATGAGAGACTTCAAACTAAGCCATGGCATAGCCTCCCAGTGCCAATAGAGAAAGGTGAAATGACATAAATGCAGTATATCACCGACTTTCTATTCATAGGACTGGTATAGGAGAACTTTTATGAACTATGTGATCAAGCAGACGCTTTATATTAATATGGCCGGGGTGTGCGATAGACAAGCCTCCACGTGGTACACCCTGGGCAACGTATACTCATACGGCAAAAAAAGTCTATTAACCGGCAGTTGACTTCTCACTTCAAACTACCAACACCCCATTGTATGTCATATTCGACTACTTCCGCAGTACTCACCTCACCTTTTCACTCTACGTTTATGTCTGTCTCTTTTACATCTTTAAAACACTCTTCTGTTCCCCCCTCCCCTCTCGAATTTTTTCGATTTGATGTTCCTCTCCCTCTGTGAAGCCTGAAATCAAGACGCCTGCCATTTGATATAAATAAAGTATATTAATATGGCCCAGAGATAGTTAGTAAAGTAGATCGAAATAAAGGTGTAGTCAAGAGGCAATCAAAAAATTCATCATTTATTGTACGTGTCACATGACAACTTGGCATAATATTAGTGGAAATGTTTACTCAGAGTAAATATTCACACACTGGAAAATATTCTCACAAAAATTAGCGTAGATTATAGGAAGACAGTTATTGAGAAGTTAAGGCATGAAAAAAAAATAGTTGCTATGAGAGAACATAAAATAATTAACCATCTTGCAGTTGAGTGGGAATTCAATCGCCTGCTGCTGTTCAGCACCAATCAACTCCCCCCCCCTCCACTCCCCCCNGGGGCAGGTGGGGTTGGCTTATAATGCGGTGACACAATTAACTCCCTAAGCCAATAGCCAATTATTGCAAATGCAACTGAATAATGAGACTCAAATCGACGAATTATTATTCATCGGCTATATATATAATTTTTCCTTAATTGAATTCAAGTAGATAATTGCAAACTTCCGAGGAAAGAATACGGGGATACTAGTGTGAGGAGAGCTGATACGTTTTCTTCCTCATTCTCCTTTTATTTTTCACCAACTCTTCTCCGTCACACTTCAACCAAGACACTGGCAGCAAAAGAATCCATTGGGAAAAATTATTTTCAAAATACAAATATATATGGAGAATCGTTAAAGGAAAGAACAAAAACACCAGCAATAGAAGCATTTTCATACGACAATAAATCGAATCCACATGCAATCCTATGTGTGAACTTCCAAAGAAGTAATATTCAATTAATCAAAAATTGCTCAAGAGTCCGAAAACGTAGTTTTGAGAAGAGAGAACCTTTACGTTCACCTAATTCAAATCATGGGAAACCTGACACCACTGAGGACGGCTATAAACCAGGTCTCATAAGGTGGAGTAGTAAAATAGGAAACGCGAATGGGAGTACCTGAACCAACTCGAGAATGAATGTCCTTTTAGGCAAGAATTGATGCTGAACTCCACAAGAAGATAATTAAATAGGAGGGAGAGTGGGGGAGAGAGCGAAATTAATTGTAAAATAGAATTTATGAGCGAACTTGCACGAGGAATGGAATTAAAAATAGATTTTGAAAATCAGCTTGATCGACGTGCGCAATTAATATTCTTCATAATATTTCCTTTCTTAATGAAACTGAGTGGAAGGAGAAAAAAAGGCGACCGACGAAGCGATCCTTAAAGGTCATCGAAGAGATGAGGCTAAAGTTCAGAAGCCGAAACGTGCAATGACCTTAGTAATAAAGTAAATGAACTTTTTGATGGCAAAACACCCCAATTCTGTCAAATATACTTTTTTTTCTAGGGTGCTTAGAATTAGGGGAAAATAACCTTTCCTATTCACTCAAAACCGTTTCCATTTTAATCGATGGCACAGCGGCGACATCAAGAAAGAAGTAGCAAATACACGGTGAATAAGAAACATCAATTATAGCTTGTTGAGAAGTATTCTGTCAAGCGCAGGGTAGAGTGGAGGGAAAGAAAATGGAGAAAGCCTCCTGGACAGAAAACGCTTAAAATAAATTTTATCGTTATTTCAAATTTTCGTGTAAGCCAATCACAACTTCGAAACATGACTGACATCAATAGCTTAGGGTGGCAGCGCTGTGGCCAACTGCATACCGATCAACCGACATGAGTGCCTAGACTTATTCCTCACACATGGGGTGTGCGATAGACCTACCTCCACGTGATGCACCCTGGGCAACGTATACTCATACTAGACTATTAACTGGCAGTTGACTTCTCACTTCAAATTACCCTCACCCCGCTGTATGTCATATTCGACTACTTACACAGTACTCACCTCACCTTTTCCACTTATTCCTCACACATTCGATGGATGTGGCGCTCCTGTCGGCATAATGCGATTATGAGACTGCTTTAGCTGTAAGAAACGATGATAAATAGGGAAGCATCAAAGTGAATTATTTATTTATTATTATTATCAAGTAGTAGCTAAAGAAAAAACACGTCTCACTACTAAATATGAATAAAATCTTCATTAGACACAGGTCTTTACAAGAACAAGAACAGTTTGAAGTTGATACTCAAGAATGAACAAAAGAACAAGTGATTTGAGTAATTAATTAAAAGTATTGGGAAAAAAACAGCAATTCTTGGCAAATTGGCCAGTCGAATATTGCGCTAATTATAGATTCTTGCAAAAAATAAGAGCGTAATAATACTAAAGTCTTTTGAAATAGCAAAAAGTTCAATAAGTGGAGAAACGGGGTTTGATAAAGAAAATGTATGGATAGCACAAACCTGGTGAACACTTCCAATACTAATTTTCCATTTTTACAAAGCACCCTTTAACCATAAATCTAGATAAAAGAGAAAAGACACAATGAATTGTGGCGGCTGCTATGACAAGAGACAAGGAGTGCGTGATATACTTACCTCCTGGGCAACGTATATAAACCGGCAGTTGACTTCTCACTTCAAACTACCATGACCCCGGTGTATGCCATATTTGACCACTTCTACAGTACTCACCTTACCTTTTCTCTGACTTTTTGTGTCCCTTTTACAACAGTGAATTACTCTTCCATTTCCCCTCCCGACTTGTTGTAACTTTGATGTTTCTCCCCTTTATGAAGTTGAAGTGAACTGAAGGGCAAATGATAACTATCATAAAGCCTGTCATTTGATGCAAATAAATGACAAGAGACAAAAACGCGTGAAGGAAAGGTTTATCATTTTTGTTAGAAAAAAAGTGGATGAGAGCGGATGTGGACGAAAAGTTTAGAGCGTAACTACCTCAAAGATATAAATGATTAATGAGATTCTACTAAATGAAAACCCAGAAACATTGAAATTAACCATCGAGTTGGAAACTCAGTTGTCAGAAAGAAGTACTTTAACATGCAAATTCCTATTGGAGAACGCAACAAAATCTTTTGAAAGCTAGATGTCGTAGAAAATGAGGATAAAAAGGCAATTACAGATGAATTCCGAAATAAAAACGATAATTCATCCATTGGAACACTGATAACACTTTTCATACATGCTATAGCATAAATAATGCACACAAAAGCGATGGGATTTAGAATGAAAGTTAATAGGCGAAATAAGCGAAAGTGAGTATTGCAAATATTATGATAACAATAAAAAAATCGACACTTCAAATTTCAAGAAACCTTTTTAGTTTGATGTAAATAGGGAGGGGGAGGGGGTGGTGGGGGTGGGGTGGCTTTAAATAATAGTCAAAATAAATAAATCCGGCCACGACCTACCCAAAAGGATTCAAAATGAGCGATTTGTGTGATGCGGTAGATTTCGGGATGGGGATATCAGAGATCTTTTCTTTCAAGAGAGCATTTACAGGACTAGTATCACCTCCATTCGACACAACACTGCTAGTCTCCTGGAGTAGACTCTCAAAATCGTCTAAATCAGTTGTGATTTGGAATCTATGCTTCATGGTTTGGAAAGAGACCAGATAGCTACAATCCTTTAATATAGGTCTGTTGTAATATAGAAAACCATTCTCGTAAGAAGCTGACCCATGATTAAGTAAAATATTGTAAAAGAACACTCCACACACAGTACATTGGACAGGCCATAATGCGTGGAAAAAGTAAGCTTAGTGGTAGTAGAATTTGATTGGCAGACAAGTCAGCCAATGGGGAACCCAGCGGCCAAATTAACGGCAAATCAGTAATTAGTGATGGCTAATTATTTTCTTCAAACCCACATCAGTTGAATCTTAGATTAAAAGGAGTTAATTGTCACACTAATTGATAGGAATTACGGGATTTCAATGATGGGTTTGATCTGAAATTAAACCCTTTAGTCAAAACGATTTGAATCACCAGGAAATTTATAACAAAGCGCCGCATTTGGGAATACCATCAAACAATTGTAATTTAGATCCGACACAATGACGCAGAAATTGATGCCTTTGATAGAAAGAGATAATTATTAATCTCTCAAGACGCTAATTCATAAGCTTGGAAATATACAAGTCTACTAAAACTCAAAAAGCTTCTTGAATAATAATCAAAAAAAGGCTAAATTATCCGTCGTTTTAACTTACTAAAGTATAAATTTTGTGCGAGTACGTTCTAATAATGAAAAATTAGAAAAAAATATTGCATTTACAAGTTTACTTTGTGAAGAAAATGTGGACATAGAAAATTATGTGAATCATGCGAAAAGAGTAAGTGAATGACATTGATTTTTTAATTTGATAATGAAAAATACATTTATGCTATTAGAACATTCTTAAAAGTATAAATTTAGGAGTTGCTCAAAAGTTTGAAAATATGAAATCAATCAATTTGCGATACATAAAGCCGATAGGTTTATAAAAGAATAGTGTCAACTAAGAAATGCCCATAAAGATTACGAAAAAGACAGGAACGGATATGAAAATGAATTATTAGTTAGGAGACACCACATTTTACAAAAATAAAACATAATACTTCAGAACAATTTTATAAAACCATCGAAGGGGTGTGCGATAGACTTACCTCCACGTGGTGCACCCTGGGCAACGTATAATCATACGGCAAAAAAGTCTATTAACCGGCAGTCGACTTCTCACTTCAAACTGCCAACACCCCATTGTATGTCATATTCGACTACTTCCGCAGTACTCACCTCACCTTTTCACTCTACGTTTATGTCTGTCTCTTTTACATCTTTAAAACACTCTTCTGTTCCCCCCTCCCCTCTCGAATTTTTTCGATTTGATGTTCCTCTCCCTCTGTGAAGCCTGAAATCAAGACGCCTGCCATTTGATATAAATAAAGTATATTAATATGGCCCAGAGATAGTTAGTAAAGTAGATCGAAATAAAGGTGTAGTCAAGAGGCAATCAAAAAATTCATCATTTATTGTACGTGTCACATGACAACTTGGCATAATATTAGTGGAAATGTTTACTCAGAGTAAATATTCACACACTGGAAAATATTCTCACAAAAATTAGCGTAGATTATAGGAAGACAGTTATTGAGAAGTTAAGGCATGAAAAAAAAATAGTTGCTATGAGAGAACATAAAATAATTAACCATCTTGCAGTTGAGTGGGAATTCAATCGCCTGCTGCTGTTCAGCACCAATCAACTCCCCCCCCCTCCACTCCCCCCCCTTCTTCACCTGTACTAGATTCCTTTACTATATTTTTTTTATTATTAAGGGTTTTATATTTCCACCTTTACAGTGGGTAATACTTCGACTGTACTTATTGTTTGAGTATATTCACCTAATGTGAAATCCACATTCTAGAATACTTGTATTCATCCGACAGTGGAAAAGAATATAAGCTGTGGAAAGCACCGCATCCTTTCTTGCAAAAAAGAAAGCAAATGGAAAGCAATTTTCCTTGTAAATGCATCAAGTTACTCTCTTGAACCAACTACTTGCCATAGCAATTTAATGATTCAGAAAAAATAGCAATAACCAATGAATAAAGCACAATGACACACACGACGATCACTATTATTCATGCACAACGCCACCTCCACGTTCCACCACACTACATAAATCAACGCCATAATCGCGTCTGTTTATATTCGCTTTCAACTCTACTTGAAGCTGATTTATTATACTCATTTTTGGTGAACTGGAAGGTCTAGCAATGAAGTAGATGTTGCTCAACGAGAGAGAGAGAGAGAGAGAGAGAAGATGCATTTTTAGAACTTTCTATTAAGTAGAGGGTGGAGGGGGGGGGGAGGCGTTTATCTCAGTATTTTGTTAAGCATACACACACACACACAGGGGTATCGATCTCATGACCTCTGGAGTTACGCTATGGAAACTATGCATTGTGACATGCCCATTCCAACCTTCAACATCTCTGAGTAATTACGCTTTTTATCAAGGACTTTGCCAAGACCAAGAAAGTTTTAACATATTTAAGACTGTTTGCCATTATAAACAAAATTTCCTATCCAATAGCACGGCAAATTAACTCAATTAAACAAATGATTTCCGCTTAGCCCGAAGAGGAACCCAATTACACAAATATCCAGGGATTAGACCCTGAAATTGAAACTTGGGCACTTCAAGGCACGAAAATTTCAAAAAGGCGGGCCAATTGATGAATCACGAATTGAAATAAAATGAGGCTCTTATAAAGACCCACACTTGATTTACCATTTATGGCTGTTAATTTTAGAATTTTTCCATTTCAGTCTACAAGTACTTCCTTATTTATTGGACTATATTCCAATCCCTTTGATAAGATACATAGGATTTAGGGGCCTGGTTGCCAAACCATTACAGCAGTACCTACGGTTGAGCTCGGATGAAATTACATTGAACAGAATAACTAGCTAACTAATCAAAAAACTTGTGGAAACAAACCTTGACAATTATTTCGAAAAAAGTATAAAAATGAGTATAAGTTCAGGAGAAAGAAAATAAGGACATTCAAATGAGAGGATTGTGGTGCGAAACCTACTCATCTCTCAATTTGCTCATTCTTCTTATCAGACGTTTAATTGAGACCTCGATCAAATGAGTCAAAACAAATAAGGCAACTGCAAGACTTAAGGAATAATGAATAGGCGATGTATAAGGCACTAAATGTAACATAAGTAAGATGAAAGTGACGAAACTGTGAAGCTGTTAAGTAATAGGGCATGATTCGTTCGACTAATTTCGGTGCAAATGAACAGAGGTCACAGACCTCATTCCCCTGCCAATTAATGGTTTTACACACTCGTGGTGTGAAATGAAACCCTCATTTTTTGCCTAATTAGGCAGCCATGCTACAGAGGTAGCCTAGATTATATTGATCTTCCGTTAATATAGCCTTATCGATCCTGCAAATTCCCGTTTTAAGACCTGCGGATTGAACTTAACCAGTTGCTACAACTACAAATTATCAGGATTAAAAATCTTAGATTCAGTGATCAGGGGTGTGCGATAGACTTACCTCCACGTGGTGCACCCTGGGTAACGTATACTCATACGGCAAAAAAGTCTATTAACGGGCAGTTGGCTTCTGACTTCTAACTACCACAACCCCCCTGGTTGTCATATTCAACCCCTTCCACAGTACTCACCTAACCTTTTCTCTACCTTTGTGTCTGTCTGTCTCTTTTACATCTGTGAATCGCTCTTCAGTTCCCCACCCCTCGACTTTCTGCTACTTTGATGAACCTTCCCTCTGTGAGGCCCGAAGTCAGCTAAATGGCTAATGAAAACTATCAAAACGCCTGCCATTTGATATAAATAAATAAATAGATTCAGTGATCAAACCAATGCCAGTAAAGTTGGAACTCCACTAACGATTAATTCGAAAAAGCAGCTTCCACGATGCTTATGAAGAAACGAATCGAAATTGAAAGGAGGTATGGTGGCTGAACATTCCCTCACTAAGAAGGTGCACTTTCGGGGTGGGGGGGGGGGGGGGGGGGGGGNCATCCCCCCCCCCCCCCCCCCCCCCCCACCCCGAAAGTGCACCTTATTAGTGAGGGAAATAGACATTTGGCATATCAGGCCATATTCTAAATCAAGCCACTGGTGATTATTAGGGCACACAACCTTTTGGTACTTTAAATTAATTTTTCCAAAATGACAAGCTTTCATAATCAATAATTTCAGACGCTATCAAAAAAAAGCATTCATCCAAAGGCAGTTAACCCCCCTCCCCCCCCTCCCTCCCCCCCTATTAGTGTCTATTTTAACTGATGAAAGCGCATGGAGGGGCATAATAAAGGGAGTGAATTTTTCTTTAAAAAGTTGCAAAATTTACTTGTCGTAATGCGAAGATCACACCATCGCTAAAATTCAATTACTAGCAGTTTCGTCCGAAACGATCCATTAATTCCCTTATGTGTAGGCAGCACACTGGCGAACACACACCCCAATTAGAGGCTACTAGATTGATCCTGCTCAGCGATGCACATCCACTACCGTGGATACACAACCACACATTGGTTAATTTCGATCAGCCTGGTAGGGGGGGGGGGGGGGAAGAGGGTGGCGGAATTTGGGTTACTCTCAAGATTGGCTGCAGAATATACCTTTCCTCTCCCTAATGTTAATTTTCATGACTTCCATTAATGGAATTGGGATGTTTATTACAGTGAGAAGCACTCATCAATGTGAAAAAAAACAGAACAAAAAACAAGCGTGGCAATTTCAGTATTAATAATTGATTGAAAGTTCTCGATCGTTGGCTTTCTAAGTTCTCTTCTCAAACCTTGGCCCTGCAAATAATTCGACCAACCTATTTGATCTCCAGAGACTTGGCAAGAAAAACAAAATGAAATTCCGTTCCACGCTCCAGCGAATTGCATCAGCCCTAATCTAATATATACTTCCGGGTTTAAATTAACTTAAGCAGACAATTTATAGGCGATAGTTGCCTTACTAAGGGTATTTGGAATTGAACTATATATATATAAGGTGGTTCAGTATGTGATGTAGAGAATAGGAAAATTAAAAGGCAGTGGATGAAGCTCACACAACAATTTAGTAATATGACTGATCTTTACAAACACTGGACAAACACAGTTATGAACTTCGGTCTTGTATACTCTCTACTTGGAAGATAGACTCAAAGACCAGATAGGTAGCCATGGAGATACTAATAACTATCATCATCATCATCCATTAACAATTAGAATGTAAATAAACACATTCATGGAAATTCTAGAGAGAGAGACTCTAAAATGAGCACTGAGAGAGATAGTTAGAAGGCAATTAGTTTCCTCGTAGGTTTTAAGAGAATTAGTCTCTCGATGAGTCATCGGATGTGTCGGCAGCGCTCACTTCTCTCTCTCTCTCTTTCAGGTAAGCAAATAACTCCATAAAGCCTACTTAAACAGAACTCTCACACACAAACTGCAGGTGACCTCACCTCGTAGTGGCGGGGGCGGGTGCACGAGGATTTTGCGAATTTGCACTAACAGCTTCAGCTCTCATGTGCTTTTATAAGGGTGATAATAAAGATTGCCGAGTTAAAGGGGGATAGCCCAAAGTGAACCCAACCCAAATTCCGAGGGGGGGGGGGGATTGATCAGTAGTGAAGATAGGGGTTTGTGTGAATATCTTGAGACGTTTTAAGGCAACCGAATGTAGTACCCTCATAAGGTCCTCGTTTCATACCAGTATTAATAGAATTCTGGCCTCCATACTGATTTCTTCACCTATGGGCCTTAATAGTCACTTTTTACTTCATGTTCATTTAAAATCATTCACGAATTCTTCCAATTATGAGTCAGAACCACTCTGTAATTTACAAATTTGTGTAATTCAGTAAGTCATCGTGCGAAGAATAAGGGAAAACGAACTGTGACTGATATAAAGTAGCTTGTTGAGTAGATTACCATCACTAGAAACCCACGGCAAAATCTGACCAATCAGGAGTATTTTGGAATATTTAAAATTATTCCATACTTTACCAATGAGACGCAATCACAACTCGTGTCATTCAAATCAGAAAGGCACATGGAAGTAACTCGAAGTAAAGCTAGGGTCTTTAAACACATCAGGAAAACGTCATATCGACAGCAGTGTCATTCGAGCTCAAGAGAAATCGTTACAAAAAATTGCGCATATTGTCAACTATATCACCTCGAACTTGATCTTTTATATAAAAAAAGTGGTATCAAAAAAAATCAATCGATTTTGCAAAACCGCCCTATTTAAGAACAGCTTTTTAATCTGCAATCAATGAGCAAATGAATGGAAAGTAGAACAAGCACCTGTACTTTTCAACAAAAGTTTTCGAAAGATTAGCAAAAGAATAGTGATTTTAGCTGTTTCAATGGGGGGGGGGGGGCACAAATTCTATTTAGACACAAGTGAAGAGGTAATCATGAACAGGGTTTTGCGTGCACCAATTGGATGTGAAGAATTCAGGTCACTTACAGAAATAAGCACACCTGGCGACGCAGTAATCAATGCGCTCTGTAAAGTTTGGACTTATGAGATCGGACTCTATGATGTGAATTGTGGAACACAATGACTAAGTAAGATTTATGGGAGTGGTAATGGAATGGAATTTTCCCTAGGAATTGCTCCAGAATATCTTCCATCCACAAGAGAGACAAAACAGTTCTACACTTGTCATACTGGAAGCTCCATGAACGATCTAAAGATAAGCTAACTTATTTGAAGCTGCAGGATATCATAAAATTGTGATCAGAAGCCTTTTGAGGCCAATTGATCAACGTCAGCTCAAAAATTGCTTACAACAAACACACAAAAATGAATCACGTGTAGTGTCAAAATCGACAACCAGTCATCCAGTAGTCAGTTTAAAAATGACATAAACAAGTTAAACACAAAAAAATAGGAAATGCTATCTTTGAATATAGGTCACTTCAGTGCAACCCAACTATCCGCATAAGATGAAAATCCGCAAAGTTTCATGCAACTACAGGTCATTTCTAATGCTAAAGAGGTCAGATTCAGAAACGGTGGGGGGGGGGGGGGGGGGTCCTGATAGCCTGGCTAGTGTGACTACGCGTGCAGTTAGTCAAGGGAGCAATTCCCTGCATTGCAGACATAAACACCAGCACATTATGGTGAAAGTCACATTGTCCCTAGATGTAGACACACACACACACACACACGCACACCCCCACACCACATGTGTCTGAAGGTGTTTATATAGTCAAGCTTGTCAAAAATTATAGAAGACAAAGACTGTGCATACCAACTGCTAAATTTGTGTTTAAAAGTACTAGTGAAGTAATGCACCACTACGGCAGCTGCATGCATTTGACCCAAGCAATAAAATTTCGGCGGTAATAATCCGACCGCTACTTACCGGTAGTGCATTCAATGTGAGAGTCAAGGAATACTAGAACTTTTCCAGTTGCAGCTTTGGCACCCAGCATTCGAGCTCGAATCAAACCTTGACGCTCCTCTGCTCGTACAATCTTCACTTTCTGAAGAAAATTCATGTAGACTTCCAGAGGCTTCTTCAAGTGATCTAGAGAAAGGGGGAGGAAAAGTGAGAGGAGATTAATAAAGTATTGACCTTATTGGAGAAGCTCAACTTTATCCCGTCAAATAGTAAATAGTTTAGCAAAAGTGATAGATAAAAGTACAGCAGAAGGAATCTCCAGGTTAGAAAAGTGACAAGGTTATCGCTCTTACCAATCGTACGAACTCCGCTAGCATAAGATAGAAAGGAGGGTGTTACACAAAATACAGGGGGTGGTGAGGTGGTGGGGTGGTGGGGGGTCGATAAACCATGCAACGGGTAAGTCAACCGCAGGAAATGGGAGTGGGAAACTAGGACAAACTGATAAGGGAATCAAGATAACAGTTTAACGAAGGTATGAATGCGGATAGTATGAAGGAATGATCAATTTATCAACTTAATGAAAACTCGCTTTCAGTCTCCGGTACTTCAAGCAAAAAAAAATTAAATTTGTTTTTTATTCAGAATCTGTATTCATTGGGGTTGCGAGACAATGACAGTAAAAGAATCCCATGCTCTTAACAGTTAGTTAACAATAAGAGGTGAATTATGTGTGAGAGGTGGGTAAGTAATTCCATGAAAACAGCATAAAATTGATCATTAATAGAATGCGACGAATTGACAAAAGGTGGTTAGAGTAGTTTTGAAAAGATTTCAGTCTAGCTTTCAAGGCGATCATAAGCTCACCCAAGGATCAAATTATGTACAATGAGCATCGGAACATTTGGACATTGTGTATGCGAGAGTACACAGCCCAACTCTACAAGAATACAAGCAAAGGCTTCTAGCATATTTGTGATATTCCATTCCTGATCGTTCAGTTACTGTCTAATGATTAAATATTCCCCCAGTTATGACAAGGACAGATTTTCCTCAATGAGCTTTGAGATTCAATACTTCAATACTCGTGGTGGGATAGTTCCAATTTTCTGCAAATTTGAAATCGATAAGGCGCTTGGATGGGATAACGTAATTCTAACCTAAAGAGTTAAAACAGCATGCGTTTTATATCACACACATACTCCTATGACTCACCCTAGCAGTCCATTGTAAGGCCATCGGCACCACACAAATAAAAAGGACTATGCAATGAAAGCGGAATGCCGATGGTAAATGCGCACCGACTTACCCATTGTGGAGGCATCGTCGACAAGAATGATTTCCTTCACGAGCTCGCTTTTAGATCGATCCAGAATTGAGTGCACAGATCGCAAAAGTACGCTCCAGGCCTCGTTGTGGAAACAGAGAATAATAGACGCTGGTTCGTGCTTCTGAGTGTACTTAAAGTCAAGACATCTAGAAAAAGAGAGAGGTAAATAAAATTCTAGTGAGAGTTGCTTTAGATGACTTATGTGAGAAACGAGTCCTTTGACAATATTTATGACAATGAGATCCTACGACCGTAAAAAATCCAATAATTCTGTGCTCAAGCAATACAGCCAATAAAAGTCATCTAGGGGGGGGGGGGGGGTTTAAATGGTGGTTT